TTTTATTACCTCTGTGTAATATTAATATAGATTACTCTCGAATCACCTTTCCTCCTTTCTCGTAGTTTCGCGACAGAGCCACGAGGGTGTCCTCGCTCTCTAAAATAAATAATATTCCTCTCGACGAGTGAAAAAGAGGCGAGAAGTAGCTCGCGATACCCGGGTGAGTGAACGGCTAACACACGCCACTTTCTTCTCTCGTTTTTTCCACCTTTCCTCCGTCTCGCTTCTTTTCCATGAATCTCACGGGTTAGGCTTCCTTCCTTGTGGCTCCTTCTATTTTGTCGGTGGTGCGACGTCTCCTTTCCCTCTCACCCTTGGCCTTCGTCTTTTTCCAACCGTTCGTCCGTCCACGGTATCTCTTTATCGCTCCCGTTCCTCATCTCTCGTTCTCGTGCTGTTGCTCGTCCTCCGTCTCGAGTTTCACATCACCTTTAGCATCGTATACGGTCTCATGTCACGTGACATGATGATACACCGACTACTCGTAGCGATTATTTCATCTCGATACGGAGAAGCGTTGTCCACGGATGGAGATGTCGGTTTCGATGAACAGAACGATTGGAAAAGATCGAGAAATTGTAACAAAACTAGGAAAACGAAGGATGGAATCGCGATAGAAACGACACTAGGGAATATCTGTTGGTTACAAATTCGTACACGAAAACACGATGTTCGTCGCACGCCACCGGATATCTCCGTGGTTGTTGCGTTCCTGCGAGAGAAGCAACGCGAATTTATGTAACCTGGTAGCGGACGAAATTAATAACTCGGCCGACGTTACACCTCGCGGACCAACCGAACTTCGCGCGCAAGAGAAAAAAAGGAAACGGAACAGAAATTATTGTGGACCTCTTGCCAAGATCATTTCTACAACTTGTACAACGTCTTTGCCGCATATATATTTGTCCACTTTATTGAATTAGGGATAAAAATAAAGCCGAAGCCAATTTTTTTCTCGGGAATTCAGGTTGCGTCCTTTTTTACTTTGCCCGTATCGAAAATGGTTGTCACGGTTTCTTTGCCAACATTCCTCCCGCAACGTATTTTCCAAATAAATGCTCCAAGCGTCGGGTATTTATTCCGATCACCTGGAGAGCGAAGCAAGGTCATAAAGTTTCTCTGCGATCTTCTATTTGAAATACATTCGGTGTGATTTTTCGGACAAACATTGCAGAAGTAACGCGCCGCCATTACACGGTAGTGCAATGGCGGCGAGCAAACGTCCAATCCCCTATCGGACGGACGCGGACGAGTCAACGCTCGACGGCTCGGATATTTTAGGATTAACAGTGGTCTATCCTGTTGTATTTTTCCTAAACGGACTACGACGAGGATTCATCGCGGTTCATCGAACTCCCGACTTAGAAACCCGCGTTCCATGTTATCCTAGAACGACTGCCGTATCTGAGAATAGTGACGGAAACAGTGTTCCTGGAATTCTCGATGAAATTCGAAGAAAGCTCGTGCGTCGCGTCACCGCCGACACTGGAAATACTCGATTCCGTATATCTCGTGGTCGTGATCGAGTATTAAGTAATTTCAATTTTACACGATCGCGTTCCAAATCTTTTTCTGTCACGTCCGAACAGGGACGATTGTACGTTCGACGAAACCGAAATATGCGTGCGCAGATCAAACATGTATGTCGCCGCGACTGTCGTTGTCGTCGGCCAAATCGTCTCTCGTTTTTGCGATCCTCTCGAAACTCGCGACTCGAGTGTGCAACGTCGAGATGTCTGTTTTCGTTGCGAATGGTGTACGTTACGTTTCTAGACGGATGTGGCTAGTCGAGACGCTCGAGGCTATTTGTTTTTTGCGACTGATCTATTACACGACGACCAGAGTTGACCGAGCATTGAAAACGTTGCGATGGATCGAAAGTCGAATAGAACGGAGCTGAATATTACAAGTGTTTGTATGTTTCAAGATTTCGACGTTTCGCTCTTGACTTATTTCTTCGTCGCAATTTTGTTGGAGTCGTTAGGTGGCTCGAGCGTGACGAGTTTCTTTATTTCCTAGGATCTTTCTGCGAACAGAAGGAAGGAACGCGGCACTTCCACCGCTTATGCAAATCGCGGTCAATTCACCACGAGCCTACCTTGTCCCCGATGCTCTTCCATTGTGTTTAATTTATGCTAATCCATTTATGCAAACGTTTGGTAATTTGCGTGAACGCTCTCGACGTCGCTTAACCGGGATCGTTAATCGCATTACGTGTAATGCGTGACGAACGGTACGAAAGCGTCAATGGGGAGAACAATTGCGCATTTCTTGTTCCGGTTTTGCTGCTCATCGATACTAAGACTCAAGCTACTCGATCAAAATTCTAGACTACTAGAATTTGTTCGTTATTCGAGAATTCTATAAATGTATTATAATTCGAACAGTAGTCGGAATCCGTCCCCCTGCCCCCTTGCTAGTTGCACTACTGGCATTGAATGTTAGAGTACACTATGTATATCGTAATTCTAAAATCAGCATGCGGCCAATTTTGACTGTGAGCTACTATCGAGTTTCTATCTCGCGTGTTCGACCAATTCGACTATAAACCTGCCTAGACACGAAAGACCGCGGTTCGAGATAAAGCGTGCAAGATTTCACAGTTCATATGTTACACCACCCGGAGTCAACGGTCTATGAAACGTTGGTATATGGGCCAAATTAGCACTGGCCACTCTATACTCCACAACGCGTCGACTACGGCGTCCTATTCTCATCCTTCCAATAATAGATTAAACGTTTAGCGGGATTCGACGGCTATGCTGTATTGCTGTTACATACCGTTCCTCTCGGTTTGGCCGGTGGACCACTATTTATTCTTCTTAATGGATATTGGGTACCGGGTACTCGTAAGACGGGTGCGTTGCTTGTCGTCGTTGTAGTATTTAACGTAAACAACGGCCAAGGGACGAATTTAAAATGGATATTTCTTTTCAAACATGCAATCTCTATCTTAGAATGCGTTTAAATAAATTACGTTGCCGTGATGAGGGGATAGCGAAGTTTGGATTTGAAAAGTGAAATTCTTCGTTCGTTGGAGAATAATTTTCGCACGCCTGGCATTGACACGTTTCTAGATATATCGTGCAAGAATTCTCGAGAAAGAATGCCCGAGAAAGGGCGATTGAGCGCGAGCTATGAAAGAGAAGAGAAGGTATATTAGGAGAATGTTAGATCGGGCCGACAAAGCGCATATCGAGCCGTGCATGCCGACGCGCCAACGGACCCCTCGAGCTTTCCATCCATTTCGATTCCTCACTGTCGGAACTAATTCACTCGGTGGGCTTTCGCCCCGATACGCGGTTAATTTATAAGTCACGTCGGCGAATCTTGCGTTAACCGGACTTAGGGAATCTAGTAAGCCGATAAAATTTGTCGAATTTGTCGCCATCGCGTTTTCTGTTATCCTCCTTCCTTCCTAAAAACAAAAAAACTATCCGCTGGTTGCAAATCTAGGAATGTTGATAACTATTCATACATTAGGAAACGAATCAGCCACGTAGCGCGTCGGTAGCGTGAAATTTGGCGAGAAATGATTAAAGATCCGATACGACAACGTACAGTGCCGTTCGACTCGCATATTTGCGATGCGATGGCGTGTCGAAACCCTCCTCCTCTCGTGCTCCTGGGTTGCTTAGGACCGACTCCGTGCTTAGAACGACTTAGCAAACACGGTGCAACGACCTCGCTCAACGAGCCTTGCCGTGTGTCTTTCCTGGTCTCTCTCTCTCTCTCTCTCTCTCTCTCTCTCTCTCTCTCTCTCTCT